GCTGATTTAAAATAGCTGCAGCTTAGTTCTTCTTCTTAGAAATATTAATCAGCAAAAAAAGAAAACTGCTTGTGGAATTTCCTTCCACCAAATAAAGGAAGTTTATATGTGATACACCTAAAATTTTCCAAAGATGCAACAGGAAAGAGAGTGAGAGAATCAGCAGGAATGTAAACACCAAAGCCTTTGTGAAAAAATATCTTTGGAAAAATAAGTCATATATAAAACCAGCGGAAAACTGAAGTGCTATTTATGATACAGCAGATGCAGCTATCTGAAGCTGAATGATGCTTTCAAGCTGCTTTTCTTTTTCTGCTTTATGATTTTTGTCGTTTTTTGTTCACAGGCTGGAGAACCCACCCGGGGACAGCGAGAGAAGTCAGATAAGACAATCTTTTAACAAGTGAGTTTTTGAATAGCTAACCAAAATCTTTTCGAGTGCTTGAGTTACTTTAGTATCTGCATGCCGTAACAACAACTGCTGCAAATGGTTTTGCTTCTTTCTTTCATTCTTTTTTTTTTAAAAGGGAAATATTATTTTTACCAGGCAGGATGTTTTCAAAAACTGAAACAGAAACTTTCATGTTACACATCATTTCAACAGCTGCTGCTATTAAAATCAGCGTGAGCACAAAACAAAGAGTAGTTGAAAGCTATTTCTGGGGTATAAATCTCTTTCTGCAGAGAGTAAGTAAAGGAAAACAAGCTGTAAAATCTGAGAATTGTTGCTAAATGTCCGTTTTACAAGGATACAGTAATGAACTGAAATCCAAAAGTGTTTTGAATTTTCCAAAAAGCTTGTATAAGGTATGCTCCAGTCAAGCTTGTTCATTGAAGACTGTCTCGTAAGTGCCTGCTTGGTGAATTTCAGCCAGTTTTATGATAACTGGGGCGTCTTTCTTTGCAGAAGTGCTCGGTGCAACTGGCACACTTACTTCTTGTAAGCAGACTTGTCCTTCAAACTAAACTCTTGACCCTTTGGGTCCACTAGGCTCATGTCTAATCTGCTATTCTTGTCTAAACACCTGAAGAGGGTGATTTATTGGAAACTCCTTAGATGTGTTGAAAAATATCAATATATCCAATCGATTCCAATCTCATTCCATCATCCAGCACAGGCAGACAGGTCACATATCACATGCAATCTTAGCAAACACTAGAATAAATCCGAGGATTAGTCTTTTCAGTTGCAAGGCAGAAAATGTGTTATTTCTTTTACGTTCTTGCACCAGCCTCTCGAGTCGTTCCCCTTTCTTTTCTTTAATTCCTCCCATCCTTATCTCCATGCCTCTATCCCTACAGAGCAGTGTGTACAGTGTTCAGCACGTGGCTGTCAGAGTATCCTGAAGACTTTAAGAGTTTGGGGGACCCCTCTCGCTTGCTACGCTTGGCTCCCCTCCTCCCTCATGACTCCTCATCTGCTGCTGATCTCCGCGCTCGCTTCCTCAGGATAGCCGAGGAGCTCAGCGAGAAAGCCCTGCTCCCAGATACCCATAAAGGTCTGTGTTTTAACTGGGATTTAAATGACAGTGTTATGACCTTGTTCAGTGAGGTCATCAAGAAATATATATTTATTCTCACTTTAAATCAAATGGAGACTGCAAGAAAGGAAATATATACAATCTGGATTTGTCGTGACTATTTTCACCTAAAATTATTTTCTCTGAACATAACATCATTTTCCCAGATATCCTGAACATTATTATGAAAACTAAAGGTTTTAGTTACTGCTTTGTCCATCTGGTTTGTCAGTGAAAGATCTCAACAACTATTAAATCAGAAGCAATGCTGACATACCTATTCCAAAGCTAAGATTCAGAAAGTAATTAAAACAAACAGTAACAATTAGTCCTTCCAGTTTTGTGCTAATTTGCTACACAACCCCCATTTCAGCTGCTTATTTCTCCCATAGTCACCACAGCTCTGAACAATCTGATGCACATTTACTTGATCGGTGTCACTGTTTGCAGATCAAACCAGTTTCACCAGCCCTCCTCCTGATGCCTCCAAGTTTGAACCTACCAGCATCCTTGGATTCTCTGGAGCGCTGATTGCCGAGCAGCTCACCATGATAGAGACTGTGAGTTTACCCTGAAGACAGAACACTTTCCAAGTAATGACAAAATGTAAAACACTGCACTCCTTAAATGGTAAATGGCCTGTATATATATAGCGCTTTTACTAGTCCCCCCTAGGGGCCCCAAGGCGCTTTACACA